ATTGATTTTAATTCTACTTATACATGAAACTCGACTAAACAAATAACATTCAAGTTCAACTGGCACTTGGAGCAAAATTTATATTAAATTAATAATAAAACTTAGTATAAGTACAATAAAACAAATAAGACGGAAAAAAAACAAAAAAAAAAAACATGTACATAACCAGAATAGAGCCACACTTACAACCGGTACAGGACCAAATTGCTAATGAACCCCTAAGCCATCGCAAACATGCATAAGTCTGGCTTTTGGATTTAATTTTTTAATTATTTTTTTGATTTGTGACACAATTCAAATGGACACACATATGTGATCGCAGTACAATATAACTATTCACGTTGATTCAGATGCATATTCCCTAAGCCTGCCAAAAATGAAAGAAAGTGACCTGCTTGGAAATTCTTATGAGCGTGCTTGTTAGCGTTGTAAAAGTTTGTAAAAGAAACTGAACAGGCATCCGAAAATCAATTTATGAAGGAATACATAGAACTACGTCATCCGTCGTTCGTCACATCAACACATCATAAATGTCATATCATTGTGTGTATAAACAAAAGAGCACAACATCAAAGTCGTTTTCGATGGTTCAGGAAAAACCACATTAGGTTAAAAGACATGCTTCATTCCTACTATTTAATCAAAGCTCTTTAATACATTCCCCTACGTTGTCGTTCCTTTAAGCAACCTTCAGCAAGATGAGGCGGTGTGGAAAGGGTTCTCGTTGAGGCGAGTATCTACAATGCACTCTTTAGAGAAACAACACATATGGCGACATGAAAAATTACACGTTGAATATCATCACATATGGGAGCCAGCCGTCTTTTTAGCAGTTTGTGGAATGTACAAAATCTCGGTTGGTAAAGCAAACGCCTATCATTGGGTTTCTGAGTTTATAAGACGAGATTTTAATGTTCAACTACAATAAGACAGGAAGTTACCTTTATTTATTACAGAAAATGGTTTAGAAATTGGAAACAATCAAACTGTTTTACGTGCTGATTAGCATTGGATTGTGAACGGTTTATAAAATTTCATGACGGTACCCATGTAATCCAGTCCTTGCTTCTCGTTTGGGACTATAAAAACAATAAGTTTATTTATCTGCCCACCTACGTTAAATGCAACAACAAAGCGCTCTGTGTTGTCTACTATAGCTTGTCTTTATGATCCTTTCATTCTAATTGAGCCAATGATTACATAGGTCAAAATATTTATGCATATTTTGTGGGAAAACAACCTTCTGCTTGGTATCTGTACACGATCCACGGTAGATAGTGTCGTCGGAACTTGCTTATTGTGTTCGATGTCGAGAGTGGCGCCGTTGATATGTTTCACCACACCGAGGCTCAAGTTATGGAGCAGCTTTGTTAATATCGGAGCTTTTGAACAGCTCAAACAGAAAAATTTTTGCTTTGTTGTTTGAAAATTAAAAGTTAAAGCTTGGTTTACTTCAGTGCGTATTAAATACATTATATTTGCTATATTCTTCATATCTTTGTTATATCGGGCAGCCTTGTAAATACTAGGACTATCAACGTTTTATACATATCTATTCCTACGGCTTTCATATATCAATTATATTGCAACATAAGTTACATTTCGTTACGTCCAGCGGTAATTGAAAAACAAATGCAAAGCACATTTCAGGATAACACTTCGAAATTTAGTTATTTGGTGTAGAGTGACCATATATTATTAGTTTGGGGAAAAAGAAATCCATTATTTTTTCGGTAGATGGCTGCACTGATAGATTTCTCATAAAGTATCGATCAAATAATTTCATATTTATGCTCGTTGGAAAGGTGACATTTCGCAATAAAAAAAATTCTTTTGCTGTTTTTTGTTTGGTGCATTCAGTTGTGAGTTACAGCGTGTTAAAAATGGAAGTGAACAAAGAGAAAATTCGGTACATTTTACAGTTTTTCTTTGACAAAGGCGAAAATGCAAGCCAGGCGGCTAAAATTGTGAATGGCGTTTATGGTTCCGATACTGTAACAGCTAATTATGTGCAATTTTGGTTTCGTAGATTCCGTTCAGGAATTTTTGATGTTAAAGATGCACCTCGCACAGGTAGGCCGGTCGTCGAAAATGTCCATAAAATTGGAGAAATGATCGAAGTTGACCGGCATGTTAGCAGTCGTACCATCGCCCAGGAGCTAAAAATCGACCATAAAACAGTTTTAAACCATTTACACAAAGCTAGATTTAAAAAGAAGCTGCGATGTTTGAGTGCCACACCAATTAACAGAAAAAAACATGATGGATCGAATTTCCATCTGCGAAGCCCTGGCCAAACGGAATGAGATAGACCCATTTCTTAAACGGATGGTGACTAGAGATGAGAAATAGATCACATACGATAACCCTGTGCGAAAACGATCGTGGTCAAAGAGCGGTGAAGCACCTCAAACGGCCAGGAAGGTTTTGCTATGCATTTGGTGGGACTGGAGGGGATTATTTATTATGAGTTACTTCCATATAGCTAAACGCTAAATTCTGATCTCTACTGTCAACAACTGGACCGTTTGAAGATAGCGATTGACCAGAAACGGCCAAAATTGGCCAACAGGAGAGGTGTTGTGTTCCACCAGGACAACGCTAGGCCACACACATTTACAGTGACTCGCCAGAAACTTCGGGAGCTTGGTTGGGAAGTTTTAATGCATCCGCCATACAGTCCGGACTTGGCACCAAGCGATTATCATCTTTTTCTTGCATTGCAAAATTTCTTTAATGATAAAAAATTAGAATCTAGGGAGGATTATGAAAATCGACTACTAGAGTTTTTTGCAAATAGAGACCAGGACTTCTATGAGAGAGGCATTTTGAAGTTACCTTTAAAATGGGAACAAATCATACAACAAAACGGTGCATATTTGACCCAAATGGAACAATCCGAAGCATTTTAAATAAAGTCCTGAAGTTCATATAAAAATAATGGATTTCTTTTTCCCCAAACTAATACATAATTGCATGTATGCTTTGAATTGAATTATGTGAGGAATTAACGGATATAAAAAGAAGCCAAGGAAAATGAAATAAAATATCATCTACTTCAATACTTACTGCATTTCCCACACCGTAATTAAAGAACAAGTGAAAAGGACGCAACTTCGTTAAACGCCTTTATTCCTCCATTCATAATATTTACGGCTGTGCTGAATCTAGTATAAAGCGGTTATGTTTATTTTATGTTAAATAAAATCAAATATCTAAAACAATATAAATACTCGATAATTTCAATAAAGCAACGTCATTCTATTTGAAATATTAAATTGTACGTTTGAATTTGCTGGCTTATGTTAGATAGTAATACTTGTTGCCGATCATAATTAGAATATAAGAAGCAATCGATTTGATGATCTGAAGCCCAGCAGAACAGACCATATCATTAGAAACAGTTCACTTTAGACGAACCCAAGCACAGTTCTTTATTTAGGAGAATCTTATTGAGTAATCCCTATCAGCACCCAACATCTTTATAATGGTTTTCAAATTCAAATTTCAGTAAATGAATATGGTTATTGCTTCCGTTCGATTTAGCACAGAGCTTTTTAAACCTATTTAGTGACAATTTGAGACTCATCTTCAGCAAAAAAAGAGGCATGTCGAATCACAATTTGTCTAACTCTTTGTCAGTTTTTCAAGTAAATGAACCAGTGGTTGTAGCCCACGTAAAATAACAACTATTGTCTGATATTGTTAAACATTTCGTTAATTTCATTTAGCATTCCATTTCATCAAGCTGTTTTCCTTCGAAGAGTTATCCATAGCGTTGGCATTCCTTCTCATATAAGAATGTTCTAAAACAGCCGTACATTAATCTACTTGACAGGCACATTTTTTACATCGAAGATAAGTGATCACTGAACGGTGCGCTCTCTGCCACTATCCCATGCTATGCGCTCACAAGCTTAGCGATGCCATAGCTTCACCAAAATTTTCTTCTTCGCCAACCAATATGTAACACGACGTCGTCCACCGTTCCAAATTTACCAATTAAAGTTCAGAAACATACTGATCATTTATTATTATTCCTGCTGCTATTACTAGTAGTAGCAGTAGAAAAAGATATTAAATAAGCAGCGTCCTGAGTTCGTATTATTAATTCGACTACTTCTTTTTCATTTTTGCGCAAATTTCGAACCACAGAAACAGCGAAGGATAAGTTTCATATCGTATCAACAAGTTGTTGCAAGTAGATCCATTTTCATTTGATGGCTAACGTCTTAACACCTTATCATAATTAATTTTTAACTCATTAGTGGGATTTTGAGCTACTAAAGACACGCTTTTGGATAGATATACCTTTGTTGCTTGATGAAATTGAATTATAACTATTGTTCATCAAAACAAAATCGGCGCTAATAAAATCGAACTTTCTAATCGTTTCTTAGCTTCAAAACCTTGTAAATGAATGGAACCTAGATTTACTGACAAATAACCTCCAAAAATTTCTAGTAAGGTATATTCAGATGGAAAGACTATAAACTTTTTCAATAAATATTGGGCGAGCGTACAATTTTTGCTTTTTTAAAGTACTAAAGTAACCTACGTTTGAAGTCGTCATACCATAATTCAGCGAGAACATATTTTGTTTTGCCCATCCCACGACATATCTACACATGGTTTCCTTTACTGAGACAATATTGCGCAGTTATAAACTCACTCTAGTTGTAGCATTGTATTCTGCCCAATACAACCATCATTTTTAATTATTTCTAATTAGGGGGCACACCCAACGGTAAAAGAACTGAGTAATGGATAAATGTTTACCTCAAAACAACGTGCTTACATATTCGCAGATATATTTGGATATATTATTGACATTTCCTTATTTTTTTAAATACGAATACTAAGAAAAAGAAGTCATATTTTTTTTACTGTGTTACTTTGTTGAAGAGATGCTTCTGCTTCTCGCGGCTGTATTTGACAGCAATCGATTTGAAACAGTTCCGGCCGAAACGGTACGTATACCCAGTTTTATGGGACTGTTTCATTCAAGAGCAGTTTAAAGTTTCTGTTATTCTATTTTAAATATGTGGCTAATAGTCGCATTTCAAGAAATTTATTCTCTATTGAGTTTGTTTTAACAGTCTCATCTAGTCAAGGTGATATGGTATTGCATTTGGATTGTTTTATTTTTTATTACTGTTTCTTATGTGCACAAGCCATAAGAACATGTGTATGGCTGAGTGTAGGTATACATATATATGTTCGAATCAGGTAGTCAACTTTTTCAAGTTTTAACTGGATGTTGTTCGTTAACTTCAATGTTGCTGCACCTCTGTGGTGATATTAGCCACTTGTTATTTATTTTTAGTCAGTTGCTTTTTCAACTTCTCAACGAAACAATAGCTGTGTAAAAGAGTGCAAAGTTAGAAAATGCGTTGTATAAATAAGTCATCCACCTGTGGTATCCACAGGATTACTGCGCATTGAAATTTAAGATTTCTGTAAAAAACTAGTTTTGCAATTTTGCGTTATTTACTTGTTTCATTTTTTAATATTATCACTTTTTTTGTATTCACTATTATATGATTTTCCAACGATACACCTATTAACTTACATTAAATTGAATTAAAACAGCAAATAAATGCCATATTTTCATTTCAATATTGTTAAAAACAGTACAATCGCAAAAACGCAAAATACAATAAAAATAACCAAATGTGAATCAATAATACCTATATAAGGCAAATTTCCTGCGCTCCTCAAGTTTGTGCGCACAATAACGTGAATTCTAATAAAGAAGACTACCGTGACTTTCGCAACTTCATTTTTGATAACTTGATAAATGTACGCTGACGCATTTTTCATTTAAGAATGCGGTAAAATTGTGTATGTACCATAAGTAAGGCGAATACACACACACACATGTCTGTCTCAAGATTCTAGTTCTTTTATTTCATATTTGCTACCGTAAGCACCCCAAAGATAAAGTCGGCACAATTTTAATATTACCCACGCATAAGATGATTAATGCCTTATATCAACTACAACCGTTCTATGTTTCAGAAATAGATTCAGCAGTTTTCTTTGTACATTTTGCAAAGCTTTTTTTTTTTTGGTTGCTGATTTGATTTGAAACGCACGTCTTTATCGGTTAAGCCATTTGGAAAATTAGGTCGCCTTTGTGAATGTCATGTCTTTTTGTTACTGCAATATAAACACATAATCAGGTTACTTCATTTTTTATAAAACTTTTTTGTATAATCATTTATCCTTTTTTACACACCATATTTTTTAAATTTAAATACTTCAAATATGCAATATACTTATTTAGACCCATTTTAATATTAAGATTAAGAAATTAACGCGTAAGCTAATTATACTTCGCGTGCTCATTTAGAAATTGCTTCTAAGCATATGATAGTTGCTCTTGTTTTCTAATGATGTAATGAATTTTAATGTGGACGACATTCGATAAGTATTTTAATATATTGAATCCGTGAATATGTTCTACCTTAACGCGATAAAAAAATTATATACATTCATTATTTATTAGTTCACTTTTAAAACAAATCAAGATATTTTCTCTTTCTTAGTTGTTAATATTCACTCGTAGACATTATATTAGTTTGGCAAATTTCATACGTAATAACTATTATAAGAAACCTAGTACGTGTCTGTCTTTTATCACTGGGATTTACACAGAGAAGGTAGAAGGTTATGATATATTTCCCTAATTACTCTAGAAAGATTCCTCTAAAACCATGACGATTTTCCTCATCAAACAGAAAGTGTGAAATTCCATATAGATATTTTTCGTTACTGCTCAATATTAATCTTATCTGCTCCATGTAATAAAATGAAATGAACTTCTTCATTTATTTAATATACATAATAATATTCCACTATTTTTTTTTAACAATTATGCAATACTTTTATTTTAGATGGTGAAACTAGAAAACTCGTTCCGAAGCATATTTTAGGATTATTAATTGTTTTACATTTTCATTTCATCTTTCAAATTGTGCTGTTCAGTTGCGCAAATAATTCAAGAAAAATTCTTTAAGATGTTATAGAATTCACTTCTCCTTTCTTTTATTATATTAAAGAGCGAAAAATTGACTATAATTGCTCGCTATTGTGTTTAAACAAGTATAAGTAAGAAAGTACCTACACATGAATTCTCATTTGAAACAAACTTAAAAAAATTACTGAAGATACGGGCTTCATTAAACATTTCATGTGAGCTTTTGTATTAAAAAAGTTAGCATTGCGAAGCTGTTTATATAACTGATTAGCATATAACAATTGCGTTTGCGTAAGCTTGTATCGCTTTGGAAATCACTATACTCTCTCGATAATAATTGCATTAATTTATTGCTACTTCTTTCAATAGTTAGAATTAAAGACGACGCTGTGTGCAGATATATAAAAAGGCGTTACATAATGCATATCAACTTTTTAATTATAGTCATTGCTTTGAATTATCTGAACAAGTTATTGAAATATACGGAAAAAATCCACGTATATATTTATATATATATATATGTATGTAAATCGATGCATACATGTTGAGGCCAAATGATAAACCATACATAATGGCGAGGCGAAGATACATGTGCTGTCACTCTGAGTGCGCCAGTATAAGACTTATACTTCATTTTTGTTTCATGTTTATTGGAGGTTTAACGGTGCTGCCGCGAGGATCAACGCAATTGATGGGTAAGTAAGAGAGTGCTCAAAATGTTGTGAAAAATCGGAAAATGCTTGTTGTATGCTTGCGTTGATTATATGAATACTAAAGGTCGCAATGATACGTTAAAGATATTTCGGTTTCTAAACTCTGTTGCAGAGCTGTCTTCACATTTTTCTTCTATTCAATAAAATTGATCGAAAATTATATTTGTTCACGCTTAGTTTTGTATATCATTGTTTCTTCCTAGAAACGCATAAATTTTATGAACTGTGCGATGTTTGCTTATGACCAGATTATTAGAATGTAAGTATTATTGCAATGCAAGGTGGATTTTTGCAGCTATGGTTGTTCAACAGAGTTGAGTTGAGTTTATTTTAAATTCTACATAATTTTAGTTAGATCGGAACAGTCAAATATGTAAAGTTTCAAACATTATCCTTTCTTGCTATGTCCAGACTGATTTTGGAGAAATATTGTTTCAGCAATTTACTGTTTCCATTTTTCGATTCAGCTACATTAAGAATACTGTAGTAAAGGTTAATTTAGGTGCTATTTATACCAAATACTGAGGCAACCGCCCATATCTGTCATCTGAAATTTGTTGCTAAATTTCTTCTTGACTGATTCTAGAAATTTGCTTTCGTTATTAAACATCAATACATTACCTAGCAATCAGCAGCACTTTGTCACCATTAAAAGATTGCTAAGGGGTTTTCTAAGTAGAGAAATTCCTGCCTGAGCGTTTCATTTCATACTTTACTGGATTCTTAGAACATATCACCTCGCATACCTTCTTTGACTCATTGTCAAATCCCTCAGACTGTGCCCCTCCTCACAGCAAAAACAGTGGTCACTAGATGTATGATCGTATTATTTTTTTATTAGCTAAGAAGATAAATACTTTGGTTACAATTGGTACCCCAAATCGAGGTTTTCTTTGTACATCTACACCGTCTGAACCATATTTTGCTTTAAATGCCCATTTCTGTATGATTAACTTTTTACCTGGAGGTGAATGTTTTACTTCAATTTTAATAAGTTTATTTCACGTCCCATAGCATCTTTCCATTTAGCAACCACCAACATATTTCACTATCGCTTTCTAATGAATTTCTGTCAGTAGTATCTTCATAGACACTGTTGCACTCATCACTTTCCATAACTTACAATTCATCGTGTGTCGAATCCTGTTTACGTTGGCTCTACCTTGAATTGACACCGCCGTTTCCGTCAAAAATGTGATACCGATGGTCAGTCTCCCATACGGGCTGTTGGCTTTCGAAAATTGTTATATCGTGGCTTATGATAAGCGCTTTGTTATTTGGATTGAAACGTCTATACGCTTTGTTTTCGTTGCTGTATCCCAACGTAATGCACTCGATATATTTTACACCCAGTTTAAATCTCCTTTGCTTAGGAATACGAACAATTGCTATGCAGCCAAAGATTCACAAAAACATTGGAAGTTCTTACACGCAAGCTGGTATTCAAAATGGCCGAATAGGTCGAAGGACGCGGGCACAACACCACGTGAACTGAGAACACCTCTTATTTCAAAGGGAAAGAGAAAAATTGGTTTTTTGCTCATTACTCATAAACCACAGCAAATAATTGTTCAAAAATTTGAGCGTATGGGCGATACTATAGCATTTGTGCACAAAAATGGAAAACATTGACCACGCCTAAATAACATTGTATCTATCAAAATTTACTTGTTTTTTCAATACCTTTACAACACGCAGAAACAAACTTCAAAAACCCTATCCAGGTTCAACTCTGGAATGCGTCTAAACATGTCCGCCTGTTCGTCTGTCTTTCCGTCTCTTTGCGTAACTTTGTAGTATTTGTTTGTATTTGTGGTAAACATTCTCCCGTTAGCGAAAATTAAGACATCGCTTAAAAATTTGCAAAAGAATTTGGAACTGACCTAAACTTTTGAAAGGACACGCCTACAGCGCCCACAAGTGCCTACGACAAAAACTTTTAGTGTGTAAACGGTGGTGGATATAAAAGATTCGGTTCTGACCGAATTTAGTTTTCTTACTTGCTTAGATTAGTGTCACATATGTGGTCCATTCGTCCTTGCCACAGTAAAAAATCGTTTAATAAAAATGCCGCGTTTTCAATTATGTTTGTTGTTTAATTAAATTGACATATATTATTATAAATGGTTGCCGTAACCATATTTTTCTTATAATTATAATCTCATCTTTTTTAAGAACGATTTTTTCCTTCTCCTTCTCCTTCTTCTTCGATTCATTACATCAACAACCGAAAATTCGCCGAGTTGTGTAAAAATAGCCCAATCTGAAAATAGAGTTCTTTGTTTGAGCCTCAGAAAAGTTGGGCGTAGATTTGAAATATAATATTATTATTTATTTTAATTTTTATTTGGTTAAAGTCTTGTTAATTTTGCATGTTATACGTCTGCCACGTTACTTGTTTTTTTGTTTAGTTTTTATTAAAATATGCATATTTCTCGTCTGCCAAGTAGGATGGAACAGAACAGCAAGGATTCAATTCCATTGTGTAGGAAGTAATGTAGTACATGAGTAGAGAGTGCCATATGAACTATTTGATAAGTGCAAGAGTGAAAAATTGTAAAAGGTAGTAGATTCATAATTTAACTGTAAAAGCTTACATGTCTTGATGACATGATTTAAATAAAGATTTTTTCCATTTTTTGTTATTTGCTGTGTTGAGAGTACATGTGTACATACTTCAGGAATGTATTCGACCTTTTTAACTGTTACAAAAGTTCTTTTTTGCTGGCAACTGCAACCATTTAATTATCGATTTCTCTCCAATTTCTGAGGGAATTTCTTTGCTTACCTTATGACTACAAATGCTTGCATCTACAAGCCAGTCAGTTGAATTGAGGTTATTGCCATCATTTATATATATTGTCCTTTGTTTCGAATTCAAAAAATATGCCCTTTTTATTAATTTGCTTGTCTCCACTTTTTTTTACAATTATCTTAATGCTTTTACTTAGGCAATCTCTAGAAAAACCTTTGCACGTGTAATATTTAAGCGTACTTGTCTATCTTTTGCTGCTCTTACCACCGCTGAAGTTTTGAAGTATAAAGCTGTTTCTTAGTTTTCTTGTCCTTCGTTAACTTTCCTTTCGAATTAGCCGACTTTCAACCAATGGCCTACACTCTTCAAACAAACTAGCGAGCATTAACGATATCTGCAATTTATCATCAGTTATGATCCCAGTGTTTCGCGCTTTTAAAGCAGGCATAATCAATTCGGTAACATAACATTATATTGAAATATGATTTCCCAACTATAAATTTCCTAATTGTTTGAGCAAATTGACTTTACATGTTAGACCTGTTCCCTCAGTCACACTTACAAGAGCATTCTTGGCGATCTTTGCCTTTCAAGTAATGGTGCCGTTAATGTAATCCCCGCGAGCGCACATTCGTTTAGCCTGCATCTGTACTTATCTTATTTCAAGTGGACATATTATTTTATGGATATAAAGGGCGAGTTGAAAAAACTGTAGACTGGAAGATACGATACCTAGACTGTACTGTATAGATTAGCTACGCATTTCTACTTTCGAGGGAAAACCGAAAATATCAAGATTGTTTGTTATCTAGCGTGATCTTTATCATCCAAGCGGCTTTGGTGATTGTACTCGCAATTTGGAAACTCATACAGCAGTCTTGTTTTTATATACAACGTCCAATCTAACTATATGAAGAACTACGGCCAAAGCCCGAACGCATCCCAATTACACATACTTCTATGAATATAAGTCTTTTTCAGACTTGTTAAATTTACACGCAATAAGCTTGACGGATATAAGCAGCATATGTTCACATAAGTCTTATAATTTTTCTCTTATCGCTAATAACGTTTGAAAAATTTTAGTAGTATATGGTTCTGCGTTGGCCTACAATCAGTTAAAAACAGCAAAATGACGACATTTCAGTGCAATAAAATGCATATTTTATATATGTTAGGCTTAATCTCGAGTGGCTATTAATCTTTTTCGCACATAGAGCGCGTCTCTTTCCAAGAAAGCCAACATTTTTACATATACATTTTCCTAAACGACAATATTGATGTGATATGATGTTTACGCTAAGTGTTGTCTACAAAACTTCTTCTGGTTTTGTCCGTTCGAATATTACGATTCAAATCTCTTTACCCAACTAACTTTGCCATCCACAAATATTCTGCTGTACAATCAGGGTACCAATACTTGATTTCATTGTGACATTTTCGTGTTGATAACCTTACTCACAATTGTCAAATGCATGGAACTATTCGTCTTTATGACGTCGGCAGGTGAAGTACCATGAATCTGCCTTTCGGTTAATTTTCACACAGACTCATTTTATCGGATGTGTAAGTGAGTCTTTTTCACTGAGCGCAATACACTTTTGTTATGCCTACCTTCGCGATTGGGATCCGCAACATATTAGCCGCTTACGGATATGGGCGAAGTCAAGGGTAAGTAAACGTCGTCTTTGGTAACGACCAGGCTTGTTTCAGTTCCGCGTCCGGAAGCCCCTTTACAAAAGCTTCAACCATCAGCCTCTTAACCACGTCCTCGGGCCAGCCGCCACATGCGAAACGAGGCAAGCGTTGGATTTCGGCAATTCTCTCTTGTGGTAGGTTAAGACTTAAGGAGTTAATGCGTAACTTACTTGCTTGCCATGTTTGTTGCAGAATTTTCTAGCCGAGGCAAATGCTGTTCATTTTTCTTTTGAATTATCGGGATGATTTCTACTGCTCCTCCTCTCAAGGATGTCTTTAAGCCGACAGGTTTATCATCTTCACCCCATGCACTTTTGTTGCGACAACAGCTTGAATGTGCTGAAATTGATGGTGCCATCAAGCGGACGTCTTTAATTTTGTGGTACTGGTGACGACACTATTCATTTATAGGTTAACCATTCCTTGCTTCAAGGCTCTTTTTTCCCTTCTTCTTCTCTTTTCGCTCTAACATTTTCTTTCAGGGCTTCCATTTTGGCACTAAACTCCTTAGTTGCATGATGTATATGAT